AGCGAGAAGAGCGAGAGAGAGAGAGAGAGAGCGATTTTGACTGATTTTTGACGGCGAGAGAAGTGGGATCACGGCGGCGCGAGGCTTCGAATTTAAAAAAAAAGAAGGGCAGTTAGGCGCGAGCTCTGGAGTAATTAGGGTCGCCTAGAGAGAACCTTCTGGAGAGTTCCGGCTAGAGAGGAACCACTGCCACTGGTGCGACAGCTATTTCTGCCAGGAAGAAGAGCTATCAAGGAAGCAGAGTCATTTCCAGCAGCAACCATATGCCGTCTACGGGTTAGAGGCAGAGCTGCGGCCCTTCCTGCAGCCACCACCTCCATCGTCGCCAGGGCGCCATTGCCAGCGGGTCTCCGCTTTCGCCGGCGTCGCCTCTCTACCAACGGGCCGTCGGTGCCCGGTGGGTTCAAAGCTAGTTTACTCTCTCGCGCCAGCTCTCGCTCGATCATAGATTCGAGTTTATTACGAGTAGTTTTATTGCGCACGCTGAGCGATCTCGCTCGCGTGACACCGCGAACTCTGGTCGCGAAAGGCTTAGCGAGCGCGCTCGCCTTGACGAAGTGAATCTTGTAGCGTTTATTTGTAAAAGGGCGTCAATAAATGAGATCGCCATATGTAATGTTCATTAATCAGAGTGTCCGATTATTTGAATCATCCTCCCTAACCAGAGCGAACGTCGACCTGTGAAAGTCAGCGCCGGCTTTCTTGACCGAGAAAGAACCCAGTAAAATTTAGCAGAGACCAGCCCATGGCGCACGGTGGCTGACCCCCCCCCCCCCCGCAACTTAACTAACCTAACTCCAACAGAGGATTCCGATTACTCACTATGAAAAGCAACCAAAAAAATTAAACAACCAAAAAATTTCTCTTCGTCTATTTTAAAAAATGACATGACATGGGCACGTACTGATATTGAAAAAGCTAACACATTTGCAGAACATTTAATAAATGTAATAAATCCATATATCTATTGAAGGCTGCCAAGGTAAAAGAAGTAAGCCATCAAATTCAACAGCTGAAAAATGTAAAGATCCCTGGACATGATAATATAACGCCAAACTACTGAAAGAACTTCCCATAAAAGCCGTAAGATACATAACCATCATATTCAACGCAATATTTCAATTACATTATTTTCCTGCAATACGAAAAATAGCAACAATAATTCTTCTACAAAAACTGTGTAAATCGCTTCAACATACCGCATCTTACAGGCCAATTAGTTTATTACCAGCACTTTCAAAAATATGCGAAAAAATAATCATTAAAAGACTGAACAAAACACTACAAGAGCAAAATAAAATACCAGAGCACCAATTCGGATTTTGTAATAATCATGCTACAATAGAACAAATAAATAGTTACAACACAGATAAGAAACATTTTTAAAAAGAATGAATACTGTAATGCAGTATTTCTTGATGTAGCTCAAGTATTCGATAAAGTCTGGAACGAAAGATCACTATACAAACTAGACAAAGTCGTACCAGGAGAACTATACCTATTACTAAAATGATACTTAAGTTCTAGAACATTTAAAGTAAAAATAAAAAACGAAAGAACAGAACGTTATCCAATAAAAACCGGCATTCCCCAAGGCAGTGTTCTACGCCCCATATTATATTTAATTTACACACACGATCTCCCGACCATGGAAAACATTAATATTGCCACTTATACAGATGATACAGCTATATTAACAACACACACTAATGCAGCGACCGCCTCTAATAATATGCAAAAGTACTTAAATAAAGCTATGCTCTGGTTTAACAAATGGAGAATAAAAGTTAATGAAACAAAATCAATCAAAGTAACTTACATACTAAAAAAAAAGACTTGCCCTCCAGTCCACATAAACAAACAATTAATATCTCAAGCAGACAAAGCCAAATACTTGGTATGCACCTAGATCAAAGATTAACATGGAGAGACCATATATGGGCAAAATGAAAACAACTTAACTTTACAGGCAAGAAAATATTACTGGCTACTGGAGAGAAAATCCAAGCTAGCCATTAAAAATAAACTACTTATTTATAAAGTAATAATTAAACCAGTATGGACATACAGCATTCAACTCTGGGGCACTACCACAAAATCAAACATAGACATAATAGAAAGATTCCAAAACAAATCACTACGTTACATCACAGATGCACCATGGTTTATTACAAATAAAAATATATGAAAAGAAGTAAACATAACAACTGTACGAGAAGAAATCGAAATATTCAGAAGAAAATATACCAATAGAATTCTGGAACATCCTAATCAACTAGCAAAAAAGCTAATAACTACAACACCAATAGTTTCAAAATTTAAAAAATATCAAACACCATTTGTAAATAAAAATTAAATGAATACATAAAGGTACTGATCACTGGAGACGTACCTACATGCAATTATTGTCCACATAGGACAGATTGTAACATTTATTGGAAATAAAAAAAAAAAAATATCACTTGCATAATCTTTTCCTTTACCAGTATCTATAAAGTATTTGTCTAACTGTAGTAAAACACTCTATCAGTGTATTTAAGAATGAATGTCTTTTTCGAATAGATTTGTATGTTCATTTTTGTTTGTGCATGAAGTGTACAGCGAATTATCAACATTCTTATGTTGAAATAACAAAATAAGAACATACAAAAAAAAATAATAAAAATCGACGCCTGAGGAGCAGTTCTGTTTCAAAGCTCACACAAAATACACATTGCAAAAATATTTAATCCATTGAAAATGGATTTTTTGTCTCTGTTGATTGGACTATTATTGTAATGTAATACTTTATTTATTTTTTACCTTTAAATAAGTAATATATAATTAATTTGGAATAAATGAATAAATAAAAATTAATAACGAATAATTATTTTCAGATATGCCAACAGAAAAAAAATTCTATATCTAAAATTAATACTGAAAATGTTGATTTGCATTGTAAAATAATAAAATTTAAAAAAATCAAAAAATTAAAATACATTTTATTTACAATAACTTGTCCTTAAATTTTGTTTTCTATAATCCAGCAAAAATATTTAATACTATCTTACTTGTTATCTATGTTTCGGACAAATAAATTTATTAAAACATTTTTAAATTTGACAAACTGCAAATTTGAGGATAACATGTCATTCACTCTTTGTAAAAGGGGATAATGGCTTTTCTGAGTATTGGCCAAATTCTTCTAAACATATTTTAATATCATCTTTAATATTTTCAATGTTATAGAAAAATAGAATTATTAAAAAATTGTTTAAATTAGTAATAATCACCAATGCCAAGATATGCTGGATATTCACCATCTAGGATGGAATTATTGCATTTCCAAGCATTGGCAAATCTTGCAGGTACACTTTAACATCTTCAGTATTTTCAATGCTGTAGAACAATATAATCATAAAAAGATTATTTAAATTAGTAATGATTGACAATGTATAGATATATTTTAGTTACAAACATATTTGTAACAAAAGTAATATGTCAATCTCTTCTGTTATTTCGAATAAGACCTTAAAAATACCTAGGTTGTACAACTTTTATTTTCTGATATCTAAAAGGAAATCATATAGTAAAGAATATGTAATAATCCAGAATGAAATTTCAGAATACATAGCAATTGATATATCTTTTGAATATCAAAGACTCCAACTGCAATCTCTGTTCAGATCTCCTCTGTCAATTTCCATTGACATAATCATAATAAAAAATTTTTCATGAGTCTCAAAATAAAAATTAAATCAACAGTATTCTATTGATGGTAGTATTCTATTATAGTATTTCATAAATTTTGATATTTGTTTAGACATGCTTGACTACTGACATTTGGTGGAAAAATGTCATATACATTTTTATAGTATACAGGAAACAATGACATTTATTGGAATAGCTTTTTATGGATTTCATTGAATAACAAATCTAAGCTGTGCTAAATTCTAATACATGGTATTTTAAGCAAATAAGCTATAGATTTTAATGGTTATTAGTCAATTTAAATATGCTTTATATATTTAAATGAACAACTAGATAAGGTAATACTAAGTTTTAGTTTAACATTGACAACTATTTGTAAATAACTAACAATAAACTAATTTCCAATGGTTAATTTCAATAGTTAAATCTAACTTTATCGGACAATGTATTATTTCACATAAAAATATCTAAATAAGAAATTTCACTGAGGAATTTCATGAAATAAAAACTTTCTAATTTTATTTACATTTCTTAGAAAACTACTAAAGTAAACTTATTTATCTTAATTTATAACAATATATAAAAACTTTATTTTGTGTACAGATTCATTGCAATTATTATTCACAAAAAAACTATCGAGTATAACAATACTTGACAATAAAACTATAATAATCCAATTTACTATGTAAACATTTTTTAATTCATTATTCAACTAAAAATCTAAGAAAATGGTTTATTTTTTTCTTTTTATTGAAATATAGAAGATCAAACTTAAAAATTTCTTCAAACAAAATATGTGTATACAAGTTGTATTTTATGTACTATGCAAAACGAATTGACAAAAATGGATTACATTAAAATTTTATATATTATATTACAATTTTCTTCAATTATTAAATTTTTCTTAACATGGAAATTTTATTATAAATAGATTTTTATTATATAGAGAATGTGATAAATGAATAATTACATAATGTAATTTCGATCAAATTTTGTATACCGACTGAGAAGTATAATTGTGTGCGCGCGCGCGTGTATGTGTGTGTATAAATATAAAAGCATGTTTGTTTTAAATCAACAAAATTTTTTTTTACTTTTATAGATTTTTGTAAGGTTTGTAAAAATTCTTTATTACGATACATGCATTATTCTGTATACATAATTACAAAAATTATACAGTATTCACTAAATTATCAATTTCATCATAATCATTTCATTATATTTTATATAGACTAAAAAGATGAACTTTTATTGTCAAATTACTCGAACGATTCGGAGGTATTAATTAACTAGATTATCAAAATACTTACACAGCAGTTTTTATCGTGTCCAGTGATACTTCAGTTTTATAATCATAAAAGACTGTTGATAAAAAACAGCAAAATGTTAGACAAGCCGATACGCTTAAAGTATAAGCTAGGATTGAATTTGATCTTGACAAAAAAGTATGCATTTTGATTAAAAGATTTTTAATTAATGGACTATTGAAAACGATATTCAGAAATAATATTTTGCTAAGTTCTTCTTTTAAATTTACTATAACAAAACTAATTGATTACGTGGTGAATAAATATATATATTATATATGAAACCAAATTCCTCATATTTTCATGTGTTTACTTTACATCAGTCAAAAAGCGACTAGCAGCTCCATCAACCCAGCAACCAAAATTCTTGGAAAATTATAAGAAAATTGATTTTTAAAAGAATTTTGAATGCTCGTTCCAAAAAGTATTAGTTCTAAATTCTCCCGTCTATTTGTTAATAAAATATTCAATAATTACATAGTTACAAATTGAAATTAAAAATTTTTCTTTTGTCTTATAAAAATGACTTCTTGCATTTTAAAACATATTTTTTTCTAAATAATTCTTAAGAAAACTGTTCGATAAATCGGTATCGTATGGCATAGGAAAAACAGAAATACTTTTAATTTGAATAAAATATTTATTTTAGCCTACTTCCCAATGGAATACAGCGAGCGAAGTGACCAAGGCAGGGGCCTTATTGCGGTGATAGTCATACGTACTTGGAAACTGCGCAGTGCATTGTGCGCCATGTTATCGCGAATGTCACAAAACCAATGTTACTTTAAATAAATTAAATTAATAACAATAATAGTACGAGGTGTGATCAAAAAGTAAGGTGAATTTTTATTTTTCTCAAAAAATATTTATTTATTCATCAATTTTTATTTTATCTCCTTCAAAGTAATCCCCCTCGAATATAATGCACTTATGCCAACGCTTTTTCCAATCCTCAAAGCATTTCAAAAAATCATTTTTTGTGATCTTGTTTAGTTCATCCTTCGATGCCGTCTTTATCTCCTCAATCGTGGCAAAACGCCGTTCTTTCATGGGCCTCTTCAGTTTTGGGAACAAGAAGAAGTCACAGGGGGCCAGATCTGGGGAATACGGTGCCTGTGGCATCGTTACTGTGTTGGTTTTAGCCAAAAATTCGCGCACAGGCAACGATGTGTGAGCAGGGGCGTTATCATGGTGCAAAAGCCAATTTTTATTTTTCCACAAATTCGGACGTTTCTGGCGGATTGCTTCGCGCAAATTGCGCATAACTTGCAGGTAATATTCCTTATTTACTGATGCACCACGCCCCTGCAGTCAAAGAAAACTGTAAGCAAAAACTTTACATTTGATCGAACTTGGCGTGTTTTTTAGGTCTTGGTGATCCAGAATGCCTCCACTGGGACGATTGAGTCTTAATCTCGACGTCATAACTGTATACCCATGTTTCGTCACCTGTTATAACCCTGTTGAGTAAATCTGGATCATCGTTGACGTCATTCAGTAGCTCTTGAGCGATGCTCATGCGACGTTTCTTTTGGTCGAAATTGAGCAATTTCGGAACAAACTTCGCTGACACACGTCTCATGTCTAAAACACTCGTCAAAATTGATTGGCACGAACCAAATGAGATGCCAATATCATCAGCAATTTCTCTAATGGTAATTCGACGATTTCCCAATACTATTTTCTTCACTTCTTCAACATTCTCATCAGTTGTTGATGTGCTGGGGCGTCCAGAACGAAGTTCGTCGTCGGTGTCTTCTCGGCCTTCTTGGAAGAGGTTATACCACTTGTAAACATTTTTTTGGCTTAAAGTAGACTCACCGTATGCCACTTTCAGCATTTCAAGTGTTTTGGAACATTTGATTCCATTTTTCACACAAAATTTAATGCAAACTCTTTGATCCGTGTTTTTAGACAGCAGCAAATCGTGGAGCACGCAAAACACTTCTAACCTTGATGCCTCTCACAAACAAACCAAACATACTACAAAGCTGAAATTTGGAACGTATGTTCTAGACGAGTGTACCGACATAACCAAATAAAAAAGTCGAAGATCCAACGGACGTAGCCCGCTAAATTTCAAAATTTACCTTACTTTTTGATCACACCTCGTATTTACCATATCATAAAGTATGATCACATTTAAATATACAATAATAACAAATAAGCAGACTTCTCTTGGTAATTATATTGAAGGCGGGCCGCAGTACAGAAATTTAATGTTAACAAAAAACGAAAATTGTCTAGATAAGTTACTTATATAAAGTACTAAGTATGTAGTTAGTTTATTTATTTACAACTTATGTTACATTTGGTTTTCATTTCTTACATTACTATTTGTGTCTCGTGTCCAGTTTGTGTAGTTGATAATATATGTTTTTTGTGTGTGTATTTTTTTTTTTTTTTAAGGGGTTGGGTAAAAATCTTTTAAAGACTAGACGGCCATCGTTGACGAAGCCGTCGAAACGACCTCGACACCGATGTGCCGTTTGTGTCGGAGTTTCCAGTACGTGGCATACCGACTAAAAACCCCTCGTCCTACGGCCATGTTATAACGCATAGCCGCAAGGCGAAATTCCCCTGTCGACTTCTAGCACCTACCGGTACTCCTTTTCAGTATTACTTCGGTGGGGCCTGTTCTGATCCCGAAGGATCCCTCTTCATTTGCTGTGATTCTCAGCCCATCAGTCTTGTAATCTCTTCAGTCTCTTCTTCTCATTTCTCTCTCCTTTTCTTCTTTGGTCTTCATTTCTCCCCTGATGAAGCTAGCTATATCGCCCCATCTCTCTTGCGTCGTCAACATGGTCAGTATCAGGTTGTCTTTCGTTATCCGAGTCAATCCTAGTTCTACTGTCAGTCTTTGTCTCTCACATTCGTTTGCAGGGCACTCAAACAGTGTGTGCTCCGCGTCGTCCTTTTCTTCTCCGCAAAAAGTGCACTTGCTGTCTGGACGAAACCCTCTCTTGGCCCGGTAAACTCCAAAGGATCCATGTCCACTTAGTGCCTGCGTGAGGTAGTAGTCGACCACTCCGTGTCTTCTGAGTACCCATTCTCTTAGTCTTGGAATGAGTTCGTAGGTCCATCTTCCGTCTTTTGTTGCCTCCCAATTTTGTTGCCATCTTGTCAAAAGTGTTTCTCGCGCTTCTCTTGGTATGCGATTTTTCTCTTCCTCAGAGAGGTCTCCATGTCGCTGCCGTTGTTCTTCTTCGTTTTGCCAGATCTCCCCTCTTTCTAAGGCTAACAGTCTCACTGGTGGTACTCCTGCCAATACATTCGCTGCGTCCCTTGAGACCGACCGCCATGCGCTGATAATACGTAGGTTCATCTTGAGCTGAACCGATCCCATATGTCGGTCTACATCTGCTGGCAAGGCCCGTGCTGCCCACGTCGAAGCGCCATACAGTTGGATCGAGTCTACAACTGTTGATAGTAATTTTCTACGTGCCGGCCATGGTCCTCCTATGTTAGGCATTATCCTCGCAAGTGATGTGCAAGCCATCGATGTTTTCGTTGCTGCTTGCTTGACATGGTGTTTAAAAGACCACTTGTTATCTAGCCATACTCCTAGGTACTTTATTTCACTCTTTAAGGGAATTATTTCTCCGTTTATTATAAACTGGGGAGGGTTGAACTTTCTTCTCCGCGTCACTAGGATAGCTTCACATTTCCGCACCGTTAGCTGTAACAGCCTGCTGGCTAGCCACTCAGCGATCAGCTCCAGAGCTTCGTTCGCGATGACCTCCACCCGCTCTACCGTTTCTGCGACCACTATCAATGCCAAGTCATCAGCGAAACCAACTAACGATGCTCCATTAGGTAGTTTCAGTCTCAGCAATCCATCGTACATACAGATCCACAAGAAGGATCCCTTTATTGATCCCTGCGGCACTCCCGCTGTCAGATCGACAGTTATTCTGCCGTTTTCGGCCACTATAACTAGTGTCCTATCCTTCAGATAGCTATCTAACATCTTCAGCAGATAATATGACATCTTCTTCTCTTTTTCGGGAGATTGGTATATTCGCTCCCAGCCAGCAGAATTAAACGCATTCTTGACGTCCAGGGCTATTATAGCACAATATCCCCCTCGATCTGGCAATCCTCCTCCTCTCCTGCATTTCATCATCTTTGATTTTCCTACATTTAGCTCTAATCCCCTTCCTTCCAGGTACCTTTTTAATTTTTTCAGCATTGCTTTCACTCCATTTTTACTTTTTGCCATCATCACTACATCATCTGCATATCCTAATGTCCATATTTTCTTCCTTCCTATCACAACCCCTCCTTCTTGCACCTGTTTGATCTTCACTTCCAGATCGGCGAAGGCAAGATTAAATAGTGTGGTGCTCAAAGGACACCCTTGCCATACACTTTTATAAGTCTCAAACTCCCCAATTATTTCTCCTCCAACTTTTACCTTACTCCCTGTTTTCTTATATATTTCTTCTATTCTTTTCCTAATTTTTCTATTTATCTCTTTCTCTTTCATTGTTTCCCATATTTTCTTCCTCTTTATCTTGTCATACCTTCATGTAGGCAAAGAATACAAATAGTTTTCCTCCTTTTTCCCTTATTTCCTTCTCTATTATTGTTTTTAAAATATATATTGCGTCCATTGTTCCTCTTTTCTTCCTGAATCCTATCTGCGTATCGCTTAGCGTTTCTTTAACTTCTAGTTCTCTTTCCAGCCTTTTCCTCAGTATTTCCGCATATATTTTATATTCCGTGCCCATCATCGTTATTCCTCTATAGTTTTCTACTTCTTCTTTCCTTCCTTTCTTATATATAGGTACTATTATTCCCTTCCTCCATTCTTTCGGATATCCTTTTCCGTTCCATATTCCGTTTAAGCATTTTCTCATATCTTTTAACAAGCCTTCCGAGCCATCCATCCACGCTTCATTTGCTATACCATCTTCTGTCGCCTTTTTCTTTTTCATTTTTTTTATTACCTCTTTTACTTCTCTTACTTTGATCTCTTCACCTTCCTCTCCTTCGCTGTCTTCGGTTTCTTCTGCTTTGCTTTCTTCCTTTTCTTTATCTCTCAGTTGTTCCTTGAAGTGGTTAAACCATTCTTCTTTTCCTATATTTTCATCTAATCCAATTATTTTCTTCCTATTGCAATTCACTTTATCCCAGCCTTTTCTTCTCGTCTTATCTTTTCTTTTTTCTTCTGCCAATCTTTTCCCCTCAGCTTCTTTCGCTTTTCTTATTTCCTCTCTGTATTCCCTCTTTGCTTCTAGGTATTTGCCTCTGTCTCCTTCCCCTTTTCTTACCATATTTAACTCTGCCATCACCCTAGCCATTTTT